TGTTCTGATCAAACCGGTGTTGAGAAAATAACCCTCTAGTTCCTTTCTGAGTCCCTTCAGTTTTAACCCATTTCTCTCTCTCTTTTTTTAATTTTAAGAGGTTTATTCTGAGCCAAATTAGAGGACCATGACCCGGATCCACGCCCAAGAAGCCTTGAGCAAGTGGACTTGCTGTGGTTGTTGACCCATTTCTTATAAGTGGGTAGAAACCTTATTGTTTCCACTTGGTTGGAACAGGAAAGGGGATGTTTGTGGGGTCTTAAAAAATTTTTTTCCATCTTCCTTCAGGCCTTGCATCTGAGGAAAGGAGAGGCAGGCCCACTAGTTTTACAGAGAGTTGGTTGAATCAATAAAACCTTTATTACTCATTTGTTCTAGGTCCAAAAAATTCACCAAATTCAAAATTCTTCTTAGTTTCCTTGTGCAAGGAATACAAACTAGATGTAGTAACCAACTCCGTGAATATTCTGATTTTTTGGTTTTTTGGCACAGAATGCTTCGTTTAGCAGGAATTGGGGTTCCACAGGCTTGGCTCTGTAAAGATCTGGGTTCAAATTCTGGCTCTGCCAATGCCTTGGCACGTTACATAAACTCTTCCACTTAAGCCTCACTTTCTCATTGATAAGGTGTAAATGATAAACACGGTAACCTCATTGTGGTGTTGTGGGGATTAAAGGAGGTGATACGTATAAAGCATTTGTCACAAAACCTTGTTTTTTGTTCTTGTTAATAGTAAGACTAAGAGAGATCATATTAATCCTCTTTATCAGTGTGGTGACTAAGCAGAAGCGCAGACCAGAGGCAAATCTCTACCCACCCACACCTTGCTCAAATTCTTTGATAGAAACCATATGAGTCAGGATGGGCTAAGTTGTGCTTCAGTAACAAACCAACTCTCCTTGACGCCTCAATAACTTATTTCTGGATCACACAAAGCTTTCTACAGACCCAAATGTCTCTCCAGGGCAGTTGTCAGCTGCGGTCTGCTCTCCATGCTCTGTTCCTCTTACAGCAGCTCCAGAGCGACGCACACGTCACCATTGTTGCCGCAGGGGAGGAGAAAGCCTGGCGATTCTTACGTTCACTCTGAAATGCCTTCATTCTGAAGCGACTCATGTGCATTGGAAATCCCATTTTATTGGACAAAGCAAGTTACATGGTTCTGCCTTACACCGAAGCAGTGGGGAAGGACAGTCCTGCCATGTGCCTGGAAGGAAACGAGAACTAGAAATATCAGCACGAATGTTGACCTGTTAGACTTTTAGCCTTTCCTCCCTCTGGTATAAATTGCTGTTGTAGACACAGCTTCAGCCCCAGCACCCTGTCCAGCCAAGTGGCTGTCCTCTGCTACATAGAGATTCTTGAACTGCCCCTGTCGCAATCTTTGGAAATCATGGAGCCGGCTGTCCTAGACCAGGCAGAGGAAGCAAGTCCTGGGCACTTGGAGTGAGTCACACATGCTGGACTGGAGCCCCCGCCCCCTGTGTTCCCCTGCACCCTTCACCCTCAATGATACAGACACTGGTGTTAAAATTGTGGGTTTTTCAAGTTGGAGAGCACCCTCACCTCCTGGCGTGAGGCCCAGGGAGTGTTCATTTATTTCGTTCCTTCTGCTCCTTGTGTTTTACGGCTTTCCCAAGGTTTTGATGGTTCACAGTGGGCCCATTGCTGGATCCATCTTCTACAATTATTTATCCTCCTCTAGAAGCCTAAACATCCCACGCACAGCAGCTTATATTGTCTGATTTCCTGTTCTAATTTTAGTCCCTCCTAATGCCTCAGCCTTACGTTTGCTGGTTGTTCATAGCTGCCAGCTAGGAGGATCTTCATGACCTTTTTCTTTCCATCCAGTTTTTTGTTGTTTGTTTTCAATTGGAAAGATAGGAAAGGGGACATTTTAACAGCTGCCGTGACAGGGAACAAACTTTCACTGTTCTAGAGTGAGACGGAAATTCCATCCCATTCTCCAACACCCTCCCCAGCCCACTTCCCAGAGTTTTCTATTGTTGTTTTAAGAGACTTTGCCTACAGTCATGTGTTACCTAACAATGGGACATGTTCTGAGAAATGTGTCATTAGGCAATTTCATCACTGTGCAAAACATCATAGGATGCACTTACACAAACCTAGACAGTGTAGCCTACTACACACCTAGGCTACATGGTAGCTCCTAGGCTACAAACCTGTACAGCATGTCACTGTACTGAATACTGTAGGCATTTGTAACACAATGGCAGATTTGTATATCTAACCATATCTAAACATAGAAAAAATACAGTAAAAATATGGTATTATAATCTTATGGGACCACTGTCGTATAGGTGATCTGTTGAGTGAAATGTTACTATGCATTGCATGACTGTGTAGGGGATTAGGCCAGATGCAGTAAAATATAGTCCATGTTTGTTGTTTGGAATCTCTCTGTGCTGCAAAAGGTGGCACAGATACCCACCTGAATGGCTATGCCACTGTGCCTGGACCCTGCACTTGTGGGCTCTTGCTAGCCTCTAAGTCCCTCTAGACCATTTTAGCTGGTTCTAACTTTTGAGACACCATGAAGCTTGAGGCCTCCAGAGCCTGAGTTTTCAAAGTGTGGGCTGAATAGGCATCATCTGTGCCGTACGCTAATGTGCTAAGTAAGAATGCAGATTCCTGAGCCAGGCCCCAGAGATTTCGATTCAGTGTGTCTAGGCTGGAGCCCAGATTCTGCCTTATAACAAGCATCTCCGGGGATTGAGAGCAGTGTTTTCTAGGCTTCCTTGTTGATGCCAAAGACTTGCCACACCAGGGCAGGGTGGGACTACAGGGGAGGTGACCCACCTCTAGCTAGAATAGCTCCACCTCGAGCTGTTTTATAAATGAGGTTTCAGCCTGAGGTTCGTTCTACTGATGAAAATGAGTAATATCGAATAAAATTGTTAAGAACTGCAGAGTTTCTGCTCTTCAAATCCTGGGCCAGTGGGTCCTAGCAGAGGCTTCTGTGCCTGTTTTCTACCAGGTATCTTAGACCAAGAAGCAAAGAAGGCCGTTCCCAACTTCCGCAGCCCTATTGGGACCAGGCCTTGTGAGAGAAATGGCTTTTCTCCTGGACCACAGCAGATTGCTGCTCAAGGTCAGGGAACTTGGATTCCCATTTTGCCAGTAAGGCCCTTACTGTTCCCCTTCAACTGACTGGATGTCACATCTAAGCTTAGCTGCTGCTACTTCCAGTGTCTCCATGCACAGGGATTGTTTTCCCCAAAGTCAGAAGACACCGCGTGTCTTTGTGGCCTCAAGTTTGAATCTGATAAATTGAAGGGATAAAGGTGGCTGCCTTTGGGTCCCTGATACTCACAGCACTGACAACGAGGCTGCTGATGACGGGAAAAGAACTGAAGGAACAAGGGCAGGTCTGTTAAATTGTGTGTAAATGGTATTTTTTCCTGTGAAATCTCAATACCTCCCTCAGGACACTGCAGTTTAGGTTTTCGAGCCACTCTCCTCTGATATTTACTCATTGGGGATTTTACTCTTGAGAAATCACTGTGGCAACACAACCATTTTGCCTTCATGAAGACGATGTCAAAGTCTCAAAATCCAGGACATTTTAAGGCAGGATTCTAACCTCATTACTGCCAGGAATAAAAATTCATCCAAGGTGGAAGTGTCCTCTTTTGAACTCAAATCCGTCTCAGAATGGCTTTTCTTTCCCCTTTGTTTTTGAAGCTAAGCAATTACTTTTTTTTTTAAGAAAAAAAATTGTGCTAATGCACAAAACTCTCTTTTTCGCCTTTCATTTATTTGAAATTGAACTTAACAAAGTCAGTCCCGAGCAAGCACTATATATGAGTAATGCTTTTTGTCCATAAAAGAGCATTGACTCCAATGGTACGAGTGCTGATCCTCGCTCTGCTTTGTGTGAGCGTCCATAATGACAAAGTACTCGTGTCAAAGTGTATAATGAAACTATAAATTGTTTTCATGAATGCTCTGAATTTGGTCTTTTACGGGGCAAATTCAAAAGGTATTTAGTGCCACATTTCACATATGTGAATAACACCAGACAGTGCAATATATCCAATAAAAAGTAAAGAGCCCTCTTTGGGCACACGCTGCCCAGTGTGATGGGTGAGTTAGGGCAGGTGGTTCGTGGCACGGGGCAGTGTGGAGAAGGAGGGACGAAGAAATCCCGTAACTCTGAGGCAAAGAGTTTCAGCCAGGGGCACCCAGCTGTTTGGGGAGAATTCAAAGTGCGACTAAAATACTTAGCTCCTAAAATTGGTCTCCGGATGGTAGATGCCTGCATTTGAATTACGGGAGAAGTTATATGTATCATGGCCAAGTTGGTGAGCAAATTTGCAAGGAGAGAATGTCTGCTGGATTTCATGGGCGGGTGCAATCTATTGCAGTGATTTATGGTTCAATTAAATTACTTTTAATAACATTTTTGGGTAATTTTTTTATTATAGAAGCTGTTTGGGTTTATCCTAGAAAATTTAGAAACATAAAGCATAAAGCATAAAGAAAAAACATAAAGAAAAATGTAAAAACACGGGTAAACAGTTTTGCTACCAAAAGATCATTGTTAGCAATATTTTTATAAAGTTTTATTTAAATATCTTTGTATACCTATCACCTTAAATTTTAATACGATTTTACATGATCTTACCTGGATATATAAATCCTTTCTAAACAAAATTGAGATCCAGCTGTCTATCTATTTACCCATTTATGTAAATTTTTAAAATATTCTTTTTTTTAACTTAATTGTTAATTAAATTATTTTATCTGTCCCAGTTTGGCAAAGTTCATGAACATCCAAGGTTTTGGTTCTCTTGGGAGGGGACTACATGTTAGACATGGTAGCAGCCTTTCTGTACATGTCATTTACTGCTGAATGTATCTGGGTATATGATCTCCAAAAAGGAGAAAGACACCCCCTGGGTGTGTTGAGTACGGTGTGTATTAAACGGGGGCCTGTGGATGTTGTGGACTAATCGCTTGGTTTGTTTGCTTTGCAGTACCTGGTGTGTAAAAGGAAGTTGGAGAGTAAGAAGGAAGCCCTGCTGATCCTTTCCAAGGAGCTGGACACCTGTCAACAGGAAAGGGACCAGTACAAACTCATGGCCAATCAGCTCCGAGAGCGCCACCAGTCCCTGAAGAAGAAGTACCGAGAGCTGATTGTACGTGTTCCGTCACGGCGACTTTCCTGTTCTCCCCGTTAAGATATAAAGAGGGGACTTTCATGTGCTGTTTTTTTAAAAAATGATGAAATCCAAACAATTTGAAAGTAGAAATATTAAGGAGTGAAAGACGCATACATATTTTTATATGCATACGTACATATGTGCTTTCAGACTGCTTGCTCTGGCACCTGTGAACACACAGGTGCCACGTACACCCTTTATCCACAGGGGACATGTTCCAAGACCCCCAGCAGATGCCTGGAGGGACCTTGTATACACTATGTGTTTTTGATTTGATAGTTGAGCCGGCTCCTGGTGACTAACGGGTGGGTGGCATCAACAGCATGGGGGTGCCGGACCAAGGGCTGATTCACATCCCAGCTGGGACAGCGCGGGATGGTGTGAGATTCCATCACGCTATTCAGAACAGTGTGTGATTTAAAACTTATGAACTGTTTAGTTTTGGAATTTTCTACTTAATGTGTTTGGACCATGGTTGACCTCAGGTAACTGAAACCAAGGATAAGGGGGGACTAATGTATGTGTAATTATTTACTTATTAATTTATGTATATGGAGTTTCTTAAAAAAGGATTTGTATCATAAATCTGCACTAATACCGAGGCCACTAGCTACATGTGGCTATGTAAATCTAATTTTAAATTAGTTAGAATTAAATAAAATAAGAGACTCAGTTTCTCAGTCTGACTTGTCACATCCCGGGGGCTCAGTCCCTGCTGGTGGCTGGTGGATACTGTATCGGGCAGTGTTGCTGGAGAGCACTGCCATGGACAATGTAGAGAGAGGACATTTCCATCATTCAAGAGCATTCTGTTGGACAGCATTGTATAAATGTTCTAAAACATGCTCTTTTCACTCAGCTTTATTTCGGACATCTTCCTAGGCCATACATACGGATTTAACTCAGGCTTTAGACAGTTGCATAGTAATCCAGAGTATGGCTGTAGCCATCATTTTCATAACCTTTCCTGCATCCTGGGCTTTTAGATTTTCTCTAGGTTTTTATATGGCAATATTTTTAAGGATGCAAATTTTACTGAAAGGAAGGACACCAACTGCATTCTTTTCTCTTTTCTTCTCATTGATGCAATCTCTCTTTTAAGTGCACATACTCTCACTAACCATCTGTGATGGGATCATTGAGCTGCCCTGGAGTAGAAACAGAATAGAAAGATTCCTCAGGTTAAAATAAGTTGACTTATATGTGAACAGCATCAGATATAAGAGTACTCATTTAGTGAGCATTTACTTATCACCTGCGATATTTGTATTCCCAGATGGCACAGAGGGAGAAGAATTGAATCCTTTTAAAGTCAAAAAATCTAATAGGACTAGTTTTTTATTTTGAGCAAATCCTATCTCCCTGGGCATTGTTCTGCCCATAGAGAAAACTTGAGTGTGTGTGTGTGTGTGTGTGTGTGTGTGCGCGCACATCCTCATTGCTGTTCCTTTGGTTTTAACTACTTACAAGAGAAACTCAAACCAAATGAAATATTGTTTCACTTTAGGCTGTGCTCAAAAATAATTTTGATAAATCCAGTTTTTTTGATTCACATAATTTTCAAAAATATATAGGTTTGGTCCTAATTGGAACTGATTCCCTAGAGGTTTTTCCCAAATAACTCTGGTTCAGTTTGTAGTTAGTTTTAAAAAAGTATATTTGAGCTTGGTTTAGCACATTACTGGTTGCAGGGTGGGGAGGTCTGAATTTAGGCTCATAGCTTTGTTCAGTTCCTTGAATCTAAGCACATCTATTTTTTTAAAGAAGAATAAAATGTAATATTTGTTTCTTTGTAGGATGGAGATCCATCACTTCCTCCTGAAAAAAGGAAACAGGTGAGATTTATTCCTGATCTCAGATTGTTTTATCGATGCCTTACAATTGGAAGGATCAGGGAATCTCAAAATGTATACAGAAGTTCTTTTAATTTCCTGGAATCCTTTGTTTTACTGGGAGGAGTGAGTGGTGGGGATTCCGGCTGCGAAGAGAGGTTGGCAGTGGGGTGAAAGAAACCAGTGCAGTCTCACAGGGTGGAGGAGGGTGCACCAGTTGACTGCATCCCCTTCTTGTTGGGAATCCTGTTGGGAAGCAGAGTTGAGTGCTCACGGCTGTAGCACTTGAGCTTACTGCTCATTGGGCGCATACCATTCTGTGGGTGCATACTGTTCTGTGGGTGCATACTGTTCTGTGGGTGCATACTGTCCTGTGGGTACCTACCATTCTGTGGGTGCATACTG